GAAAGGCCGCCTGGCTGCAACATGCCGGGCAGCACTGAGCACTTGAGCTCAGCATTCATTATAGACAGACTACAATGAATGGCCTTGACTGGCTTTGCCAACCATTGATGGCCCCAATATTGCTGTGTTATTGAAATGATGTCTTGTTTTACACTTGGCTGCAAACCTATCTGGGATTTTAAACAAGAGAAGCATTCCAAACTAAATAATCCCCTGCTCCTGTACGGTCTTCCGCAGTGAAACACCTCTAGAAAGACTATGCTGGCTGATTTTCCTAAACTCAGTCACCCGCAATGTAAGGCAACAGGTTCTTCCGCTTCAGCAATCAGAGGCTGTGTTTTCCAGTGCAGTCCATATGAGAAGGGCCCACAATGGCTTGCTAACATGAGTGCTAATACTTTCTCAAATGAAAACGGTCGGATTACCAGGACTGAAGGGCTTCCCCCAAGCCGGATATTTTCACTGACCAACTTTAGCAATCTGAGAAATCTGGCATCATCATATTCAAATTGCTTGCCAAATAGTATAGACACTATAATATTGGAAACAGCTGCATTCATAATTGTAGTGCCTTCAAAGGGATTTCCTGTAACATAAACATTACAATGAAACAGTACTATTTAGCTGTAATCCAGATTAGGACACATTATGGGAAGGCCAAACCCCCTGGGGAGGACTATCTTGCTGGGGAGGCTGCAGAAAGAAAGGAAAACCAGCTCCGAGGTGGACCGTCTGCAGAAAGACGGTTCTCAGCACTGGATTTTCAAGAGCCAAGTAGGGCTGTCAGGAACAGGACCTTCTGGTGGGCTTCCACTCACCGAGCCACCGTGAGTCAGAGGCAACTTGATGGGACCCGACAGCCGCAGCAAGGAACAGCAGATTTTGAAAGGGCAGCACATAGGCTGATTACGCCCCCACAGGGACGTCTGGGAACTGTGATTGGGAAGTGTGGGATACGCCACACGGCAGTCTCAGCATCCTGCAGCGCTGCAGTGCTGACGTGCCCTGGAGCACCAGAAAGAATCCTCCACCCACCTCCATGGGATTCAAGTGCCTTTATCAGAGAGCCGCACTCTTCAACGATCTT